AAAATGTAATTATAACTGCACTGTATTGCTTTTCTTCAGGGAGATGTCATTGCTTTGTCTGGAATGTTTCGCAGTATGACATTAAACTTTCCTATCTTCATGGAGACCAAACCAGACCAAGTTACAGGTCAGATCTGTGGAGAGGCAGCCCCACTCATGGTCAGAATGCTTGTTTTTCTTGCAATTTTTGAGCTATAAAAACACCTGTGATTGCATAAATGTAAGGTAGAGATGTTTAATGTCATACTGTGGAACATTCCAGGCAGAGCAGTGACATCTAAAAGAAACAAGCAGGTGACGGACCCTCAACCAGTGCAGCTTTAAGTAGTTCTTTACCTTTTTCGATGCCAAAACAGAACAATTTTTTTTTCCCAAATTGTGCTCCTCTACATCACATATTGAAATTTTAAAGACTTGGACGTGCTTTCTAATAATGTCTAATTGAGTGAACGCTCCCTTAGATTTCCTCCCGTCTTCTCCTTCACACTGGGTCTGGTTTCTCTGGATCCTGTTACTCTGCTCTGACAAAGTGAGCTGCACATGCAACCTGACCGGCACCACACCAGAGTCATCTCCCACAAGTACATATGAGATACACATGCCAGCGGTGTGCCAATCTCTCTAATACAACTGGATAACATGGATAATATCTAGAGTACTGCTGCATATAAATAGCGTACTCCAGTGTTGAAGAAAAGGCTGATAATTTGTTAAAGGGCCTGCATTATGTTATTTTCTGATCTATGTTATAATGTTTCCTAGGGGTGTAACAATAACCAAAATATCGTTATATCGTATCATCCAGGGTATCCCCAGGTCTGACTACCCCAAATTTAAGACTTTTTAAAGACCTTTTTAAGACCACTTAAATTAAAATTAAGACCAACATCACACCATTATGCAAGCAAAAAACACCACATTCAATTCTAACAATGACCATTACTCACTGCTTTAAATAGCAAAAAATACTTTTATTATAAAATCTCCTTCAGAACTCATTTATAGCAGTATGAATTGCTTGTAAAATGGCCAAAATCATTTATAACATTCTAATAAGACAAACTAAGTATTGTTTGTGCACTGCAGCACGGTTAAGTATACAAAAAAAAAAAAAAAAAGGCTAATGAAATTTAAGATCTTTGTGAAAAAAATAAGACTTGGACAACATAATTTAAGAATTTTTAAGGCCTTAATTTAGAAACATGAAATTTAAGACCTTTTTAAGACTTTAAAGACCCCACAGCTACCCTGTCATCAAAGTTCTCACAATAATATCAATGATCATCACAATATAATATGTCGAATTACAAGCCTCTTTGCTTAAATTAAGAGATATGGTGCAGCAATAGTTAAAAAAAAGACAGAGGGAACTACATAGACCATGATCCTTTGCTCCATTTCAATGCAGACAAGAAGAAATAACAGCTCTAAGCACTTTTAAGTCTTAGTTCTTTGGATGAAGTCTTGCCAAGGTATTTTAAGAGGAAAAAGTACCATATTGACAGTTGCTAGCCTCCACAAAATATCGCAATAAATATTGTACTGTGAGATGTCCATCATGAAAATATCATACTGAAAGATTTGGATATTGTTACATCCCTAATCGTGAGCCTCCCCACCATATCGTGAGCTTTCCCACGATATCGCAATAAATATTGGGCCATGAGGTTCATACTGTGACGATATCGTATCGTGAGACTTAGATATCTAATGTTCCCTAATCACAAACGTACTTGGGGTTGTGTTTTGTTTCATTCACACATTAATTACACACACTAATCCTGCATATTTAGGTTGTGTCCTTCTCTCAAATGGAAAACACTGTTCCAGCTTGTGATGCCATGTCGTAATACAGTTAATAAATGCTCCACTTTAAACTACTTTCACCTTCATCATTTGGATAATTTCAGCCCTGGAATTGCCAAGTGGAGTTAACCTGACTGACTGAGATTCAGGAGCTGGACCACGCCTCAGCCTTCTTACAGCCAACCACAGCCTATATCAACCTTTAATTACCCAGAAGCCCTATTTATATGGCCATCTTGACATCACCGCCTGTGTCAGTTCTCTCGTCCAGTTGTGGTGCGGTTCTTGTTAGTGAATCCATGTTAAACTAAAGGTAAAATGTAGTAGTTAACTTGAAAACTACAGCTTCAAGGCATCACAAGGTGGAATATGTTAATAGATGCAGCATTACTCAAACATATGTGAAAGCAGCAAAACACAACTCCAGGTCTATTTTTGAGGAGGTAACAAAATCATAACATGGCTTAAATCTTATTTTTGTGAAATATAGGACCTTTAAGTGAAGCTACTTATTACAGAAGACTCCAAATGTGAACCCTTAAAGGTGCACTATGTAACATTTCTGATGGAGGGTGGTGTCACTTGCTTGTCTTTGTGGAGACAAGTTTAATGCCACACAGTGTAACACCCCACACAAAGCAGATGGTCACGTCTGTAGAGAGGCAAGCCCACTCACGTTACACATGTATTTCAAGATATACGGTAGGGTTTAATGCTATACTGTGGGGCATTTCAGGCAAACCAATAACATCTTTATGGAAACAGGCAGATGGCAGAGAAGTAACAATGTACCTTTCACCACTGACCAAGGTGTTTCATTTTTTTGGTCCAGTTAACCCAGTTCTTCTCACATAATGGGGCATGTGACCTTGGAGAATATGCATTTTTTTTGTCGTACTAGAATAAAGTGTAATAGCACATCCACTACAGTAGTTGGCAATGATGTTCTCATTGTCAGAGTGTGCGCAGGGAGTATTTGTGCGTATACTCAGTGCAAAGAAGCTCAACACTATCGCGCTCACTGTATGCACTCGGCTTCACTGTGAAACAAGGAAATACCTGTGTCTGAAAATGTTGGCAGCAGACAGCATGAAGCCAAATAAATGACAGCGTCGCTTAAAGACATTACACCCTGATCACGCTGATAAGCCGCTTCAGTTTTTTCAGCAAAAACGTGCCGAATATTGCCAACAATCATCCCGCTTTGTGAATGCTACTTCAGTAAACCAGCAAGCACTGTTAGGATCATATAAGGTGGCATAACAAACAGCAGAGGAGCTGATACTGCTGCAGCATTAGACATGGTGTCTGTCATGCTGGATGACACGAGTGCCCCAAACTATAACACGGACATCATCTTTAAAGACAAGGAGGACACGGGAGTGGACCGCCTCATGACGCAGGTGAGCACAACGCGGAATATGGACGGACACATGCTGCGTTTGTCCCAGGAGTCACTTTGGAGACGCGACTAAAACGTCTGCAGGCTACTGACGGCGAGGGTGCGATTTGTCCACGTTTGGTAGTGGTTCTGTGGAGTGGAGGGGCGCAAAATGTGGGGGGCTTGACAGGAAATAATTGAGAAGCACTGACTTAACCTATGAAAATCACATATTCTAAAGCAGGGGTGTCCAAACTTTTTTCATCAAGGGCCACATATCTAAACACAGACCAAGCAGAGGGCTGATTGAGGGCCATAAACTGATGCTCAGTACAGTGAATAATTGAAATATGTGCATGTTTAACACATTAGAATGAGCTATCAGTCTTTATTCATGCTAAGATCCTTAAAACCACACACTAAGTATTAAATATTTGCTTTATCTAGGTAGATTTTCAAAAACTTGCAGTAAAAAAAGATTTTTTAATTGATGCAGTTAATTTGGGCCAATTCACCTGGAAGCTTGAGGGCCAAGAAAAATTTGTCTGAGGGCCACATTTGGCCCCCGGGCCATAGTTTGGACACGCCTGTTCTAAAGCAATTTCTTAAAATAAGGATTCCTGTTGATGTATTAGGAAAAAACGTGATTATATTTGCATTTGCCAAAATGATTAGCATTTAATCCTTAATCCCCACACGCCCTGAACATTCTGATCTTATGATTCTACAAACGTACCTTTTTGACCTGACAAGAAACAAGTGACGATAATCGAACTATAATCACACACGTATAACCGTAGTCATAGTACGCTTTGTAAATGTATTGACTTTCAGACCAGTATTTAATTAGGCATTTTGGTGTTGCTGAAAAACAGTCCCTGAGAAGCTTAGGGGAAATAAAAGTGCTGACGGAAGCGGCGCATAACTCAGGGATGAAAAAGTGCTGTCAGTTTGTATCTATTCATCATGGCAGGAGTAACTTCAGATTATGAATCAGGGCGACTCAAGATGAATCCATTTGTTTGCTTCACGTGGGGGAGGATGAGAAATGTCTGAGCCCTAAAGAGAAACTCACTGTAAAACGTGACAGGATTAATAAAAAGCTCCATGATGTGGACTCAGGAAATGACTACACAGCAGCATGACTGATTTGTTTGTTTTTTTAAATAAAGTCAATAGAGATTTTTTTTTTAACCATGCAAAAAAATTGCCAAGGGGAATAAAATAAGTGAACATTTTGAAAAGCACAGAAGAGAACAGCTAAAAGATATATTGTTAAGCTGATGTGTAATGCATTTTTTCAGTTTTCTGGATTTTTTAAAATAGTTACAGAAACATTTTCACTGCACTTTACAATTGAAAATAATAACAAGATGTTGTTGTTGTTGTTTTTTTTACATACACAGAAATTACTTGATTTAGGACAGTGGACAAATTAGCAGAATGGCTTTTATCAACATGACGTAGCTTTAAAATTTATCATCAACTATGAATAAATCAAAAATATTCCTTTTATGTTTTTGAAATATACAGAAATATACACAGTGTTTGTATCAAATGTCCCCTTTAAACACGTTACCATAATGACAAGAGGAGGAGCCCAAACTATTTCAGAAATTTAGTATCACAATCTCAATATGGAGATGGTAAAAGGAGCTCGCTGTATAAGATTGTACATTTGTTTGTTAAAAGGATGTATTTTTATTGTGGCATTGAAATGCGTAACAAGCTATTTCCTTTAAAAATTGAAGTCAGGTGTAACACAAATTTATTTTTCCACAAGCTAAGAATAAATCAAAGTGTGTGTCCTCACCTATAGAGCAGTCAGCCCCGGTCCAGTTGGCCTCACACACACACGTGCCGGTCTCTGTGCTGAAGGTGCCGTGGCTGGAGCACTGCTCAGGACACGTGCTCTTCAGGATCTCACAATTGACTCCGCCCCAGCCCGGGTTACAGTGGCACTCCCCGTGATGACAGGCCCCGTGCCCAGAGCAGGTGGGGTCCACACAGTCCACTGAGGAGAGATGAGAGCACTTTAAATACTCTGACATGAACAAGAGGGAGCAGGGAACACTCCGCTGCAGCAGACAGCCACAGTCACACACATCAGGAGTGCAGCTCTATAAACTCTGTAAACTATAAATGCTTCACCACTACAGTCTATCGATCCTTTTACACAACCCTATCATTCACCTCAGCAAAGGTGGAGTGGAGTTTTCATCTTATAGTGCACTCAGACTCTTCCTTTTCCTGAACCTTAAAGCAACTTTATTTTCTGAGCTATGTAGGCAGAATGTCAGCCATGGCTCAGTGTTAGTCCACCAACTATCGAATGACCAGTGTTCAATCCTCTCTCTCACCAGGGCATATACGTTGGTGGTTGTTGGACGAAGTATTTGTGCAGACTGGCAACCTGACTTAGTAGCTAGGCCATAGAGTGTGGGCTTATGCCAAGCTTGTAAAAGACAATATAACTTTAAGGCATTATCGTTTATTTAGTTTAGTGTGTTTGTTGCAAAAAGGAAATTGAATTGACGTGGCAATTCTGACTAAATAAAATGATAGGCCAAAAGTAAAAAAACAAACAAACAGGTAGCTTGGTACTAAATTGTATGAGAACTTAATGATGATGATTTATTTAATGCCACAAAATTTAATTTCCTTTGTAATGGCTGACCATCAATGTCATTGTGATTAATGCAAGACTGTAGTGGTACAACCAGGTATGCCTGTGCAGAAAAAGAGTGCTCCTCCAATAAGTACCGTATGTACTTTCTAATTACTAACAATCTATATACTTTCAAAACAACTCTGTTCTATATTTGACAAAAAACAAATCTATCTGTAAGTTTTCCCTGTACACTGGTAGTTATTTCCCACCCACGTGGCACCTCCTCCTCTGGAGTACATTATAGGCTATGGCAATATACTGACAGCATAATTATGCACATTACAGGCCCCACAAAAGGAGCACAATTAGTGTCGGGATAGATAGAATCAATTACCATTAACTATTTGGACCCACTTGTTGCTCCAGGTTAGTAATTGCCAATTATGGACAACATAATCAAGCCATTACTAACAGGGCATCATTTGCAGTTTCCTATGGAGCTGATTGTTGTATTTCCATATCTGCTGAAAATGGTATTGATTCTTCACCTGGGCCACTTCATCAAACACGCGGCCTCCTCCTGTTTGTGTTTCCACCATATCACTTCACATAAAGGAAAACCACAACATATTTATTCTGCGAGCTCAATAGTCTTTACATAGGAGTCCGCTGACCCGAGCATGCAAATGTGAGCTGATAATTGCCTTTTGTCATGGTGCAGATCGATAAAGTTAAACATAGTAAAGTGGAGGGGGAGGGCCAGCAGATCCCGAGGGGAAGTGTTCTGTGCGCTTTCAGTAAAGACAAAGCCGTGTTATTGACTCATTGATTGTACAGGTGTCCTCATCTGTAAGCGTTTGAATGAACTTTCACACAATCTGTTCCACCTTCACACGCACAGCTAATATATACACGTATCAATACCACATCGGCTGCATTATCCGCTTGGTGGAGTTGAAAACCGCTATTGTTTCAGCATTAGACTGCCTGTCCCCCTGAGGGTAGAACAGAATGTTGTGCTCTGGTGCATTGGGACTTGTGTGTTGTGATCATAGCCAGTATATTTAAAAGTGGACTAAGGGACACAGTACTGTTCGGCTCCAGCCACTGAAGCTAATCAAGGCTTGTAGTTATAGCGGCTAGTCCCATGAGGTTCATTTGGTCTTCTGATAATTTATGTTATTAGGTTCTTTTTTCAGACCAAGAATTTGTTTTCATACCTGAGTCACCGCTTACTAGTGGTCTTCCTCAGAGTGGTCACGTGATGCTGCTGTGACGCATCTGGTCAGCTGATTTTAAAAGGTTTTTGCACTGTCTTTCTACCGGTGGAGGCAGGATGACAGCGCCATCTGCAGTCCGACTTCCTCAGGACAGTATCCCAGGTGTGTGAGAGTAAAAAATCCCCTTGTCCTGGTTTATAGTCTTGACCACTCTGAGGAAGACCACTGATGAACAGTCGAAACTGTCTGGTATGAAAACAAACTCGGTCTGAATAAAGAACCTAATAACATAAGTTATAGCGGCTAATTTGGAGCAGAGTGCGTGTTTCATGACAATCAAAGAGTCAATCCGGAGCTAGGTTCTTAAAGACACTTGCCATTTCCTGCTTGTATCATTGGTTTGGCAAAGGGCGCTCAGCAAAGGCTCAATAGCTGTCAATCAAAGTGTTATTATAGTTCATACTTTGATTTACAGACAAAAGAGCAAAATAAAAAAACACTAGTGGTTTAAAAAGAACATTTTTAGGTCAGAATGACAAGCCTGACAGCAGCAGTTAGTAGAGAGAGTAGCGCCGATTTTCAATAGAAAGTAAATTAGAGTCAGAGTAAATGGAGCCAAATCGCAGCCATGCCTATTTTCTATTCTAACTACGTTTGTGATGGTGGTTACCTTGGTCACAGTTGATCCCCTTGTGGCCGGTGTTGCACACACAGTTGCCGGACACACAAAGTCCGTGGCCCGAGCACAGAGGGTCGACGCACTGGGACAGGGGCACGTCACACTCTGTGCCCTTCCAGCCGCTGTAGCACTGACAGCGCCCCCTAGTGTACTGGCCATTACCGCTGCACAGGATCGGACAGGCGGCTATAAAATAAACAAAATGTGTCAGACATTATTTGTTTTTCAATTTTCAGAAAACACAACACAGAAAAAGGGGAAAAAAATCTAATACAAAGTTTTTTTTTCCCCCCCCTGCATTTTATATATCTATTGTTATCCTTGAAAGTTGGTTCATTCTGTCATTCATTTCTTAGTGATAACTTTTTTCCCTGCCAAAAGTACAAGTTGTGTGTACTTTAATCAAACCTTAACCTTAACCTAGTATTTCATTTGAACATTTGTTTTTTGTGCTGCAAATTTTTGTGGTCTATCCTATGAAAAGCAACCGTATTCTCTTATAATACTGTACCACCATTTCTCTATTTTGTGCCTCATAGAATCCAGTCCCAAGACAACACTGTCAACTCTGTGTGTGATAGCAATTACAGCCGGTTGTGTCCGTTTTGTTCTCTGAATGTATGGGCACATGGTTCATTGATGGGCTAAAACGTGCTAAAAATAACAGCTTTTCGCTTCCTGTCGGCGAGTTGACTTTGAGCGCACGGCTTGTGTATAAATGTGTTAACGGATCACCAAACAGATCCATGTGTGACAGCTGGTGCCATCTGAACCTCCTCATACCCACGGACCCCGGGGACAGGCCTTCTGCGCAGAGGAGCCCGCGCCGAAACAAGGAGAGGAAGCTTTTGTCAGAGCATAAACAGTGACATTTTTAAAAATAATAATCTATGCTCTGTATAGTGGAAATGGTTTAAATTCTGCAAAGATCTGCTCAAGACTTCTTTTTAAGTTGTTTTGGTTAGTTGAGGTGTGCATACTTGATGCTTTTTTCAGGCAAAATTGTATTTTTACTACTTACCAAATCTTTTTTTTTTTTTTTTCCAGCGCTGCCTTATAGCTTTTTAGTTGCAACTTTTCAGAAGACACCAGAGACAACATCTGTGAGGAGTTTTCAGTTCACTGGAAAGTGAGTCAGGTGCAAGGAAAGTTGACAGGAAAATAATGTTCATATGTCCTGGGACTACTGTTTTTCACACTTTTGAGAAGAATTATATTTTGTCAGTTTTATAATGATATTTTATATTTTTGAAGGTTTTCAATATTCAGTGTGGATTAAAGTTGTACTGCTACATACATGCAAGTCACAAAAGGCTTATATTGGCCTACGGATGTTATATGACTGTGCATGATTATTGTGTGAAGAAATATTAACACAATTTTTAAATCTGATTTTGAGATTTTGTCTATACAACACATCCCAGACTAACTCAAACTGCAAATGCTATCTATTAAACTATTAACTTATATATAATTTTTATGTTGCTGCTACCTAACTTTGAATTTCCTTCAGGATCAATAAAGCATCTGTCCATCTATCTTTTACGGACAGACGTGTTGTGTTCCTCTGTTTGTGATGGAACTGTATTGGCAAACAAAGAACTAAAGTGATTTTAATTTGACTTTAAAATGGATAAACTTTCACATCCCTTTAACAAAGCGTGGATATACCTCTGGAACAGTACGGCCCTATGAATCCCGGAAAGCAGTGACATGATCCGGCGACGCACTCTCCGTTCCCATAACAGTTGTGAGTGCACTCGGTGACAGATTCTGCGAAAAGACAGAGAAAAGCAAACTATTAATACCTCCCATTGTCACATTAGACCCAACATGCAACAACTCCTGTTTCATAAGGTCTGACAAGTGTGCGCTTTAAAAATACTGCACGCACTAGAGACAAGTTTCTTTTCCCTGCTGACAAGAATCGGGGCTTTCTGAGCACCCCTTATCTGCGCAGGCATACATTTACAACTATTTGTCCATGTCCCACTAAGGTCTAAGCCTGCGTAGCATCCCTGACGCTCTGCTAAGCCTCGCTAAGTAAAAACCACACAAGCATTTGAAACCAGACCAAATAATTCCGTTTCCTTGACACATTCGGCTGCGATCCTGTCTCCTTAGCTTGTGAATGACTGCCCTCCAAAGCCACGCAATAGGCCAAGTGTTTACTGCAGCAATCCTCCCGGAGCTGAAGTTAATCTGACATATCCGAAGCAGACATCGCAAAGTTTTGTTCAGCAGACCATCGCTCATAAAGGGGAAAACGCCCTTACAGTAAAAATGTCATATCTGAACGTGATTAAAATGAGTTGAAATATATCAGAATATTAGTCAAGATTTGATGAATTAGGTTTAATTTATTATATGATATACAATTAGGGGTAGGTCTGAATGATTAAGGGAAAATATTGAATTGAGGGGTTTTTTTGTTCTTTTTTTCATTTTGTATGAATCGTGTTTTTTTGTGTGTGTGTTTGTGTGTGTATAGGCAATAGACTACACCAGCAGTTCCAGTGTCTCCTGTGCAGTGGCCCCCATCAAAGTGACGATCACACAGGGCCCTTATAAACTGTTTACACTACATATAAAAGAAAGTGTACCGTATTTTCCGCACCATAGGACGCGCTCTTAAGTCAACCCCATCAAAAAACGACTGCAATTCCCAAAATCTAGGGTGCCCTATACACAAATCCACTCGGGGGTCCCAGCACAACTTCAGTAAACAACAAAGCCGCACCATTCGCAGCGCACGCAAACACACACGGAGCAGACAGCGACTGCGCAGTAAAACACACTCACAGCCACACTCATCACTCCACACGGATGAGGAACGGAACAGAGGAACGAAAAGCGAGTGCAATGTGCCAATTCGATCCACAACTGAACAACTGAGTCACTGTGAACACGCCAACAATCCAGCGGTCCCAGACAGCACCCTCCCTACGCCACAATTGAACAAAGCCCAGAGTCACCGTGAATGCGACAAACAAAGTCCGACTGACCCATCGAACTGTTGTGTTTTGTTTAAAGTCCGGTACGGTTTATATGTGAAAAAAGTTCGAAAATAGACCATTCTATGACAGAGCGCCTAATAATGTGGAAAATACGGTAATGTTTCAGATTAGATGTATATATATGTTAAAATCTTGTGAGCTTTATAGTAACATAAAGAAATAAGAAATATCTTGATTTAAAACTCTGTTTTCTTTCTTGCTTACTGTGTGGAAAAACCTTTGGGTGATCCTCCAGCAACACCTCTAAAGCCCCTCACTTCAGAAACCACTAGACTAGATATTCTAATTTAACATAGCAATAAAACAACAACTGAGATCCCAATTGTGAATACCCACCTCTGCCTACAATATTTAACTTAAAAAAATACAAGGCCAGTTAGGTAAGTGTAATTTACTTCTCTCATTGAAAAATCCTATAGAGAATAAGGACTAAAAAAGGCTAAGTCCAACAATGATCCAACAATAAATGAGCAAATGTTCTAAATTCAAATAATTTTAACTAGTTACTACTGGCTAGTTCTATTTTTTTCAATGCGCAGTTAAACTTTTTTTTTTATTTTTTGGAGAATCGCGTGGCTTGTACGGAATGTTCATCGAGCTAGGGCAATTTTGGCCTCCCGCGTCAATAGCTTCATATTTGTAGGCCAGGATCAATGGAACCCCCCAAAGGAAATAGGAAAGGAAAAAACATTAAAGTGTGAGAAATTTCACAGACTTTTGACCAATGGAGAAGAGGAAAAGTGGGATCAATGAGCGGTATGGGCTGTGTTCTGACGCTCAGCACAATAATCCACTATATCTGCTGCCAGGCGCACACTTCGAGAAGCTGCAGTTTTCTAACAAACACTCAATACATTTATTCCCACCACATCCTTGTTCCTCGATGCCTGAATGTTATGTTACAAACTGTTTATGAAATCAGCTCACTTTCAATTTTGGAGACTCTCTGCAGATTTGGCATAAAAGTTTGATGTGCTGGAGTTTGTTACACTGTCATAGAAGTAAGGTTTTTTTTTTTTTTCATTCTATCCAAAGATGAAAGAGCATGTACTGCATGTTACCTATAGACACATCTATAGTTTCCAAACTTTTTTTCTTATCCTACAGAGAATTGTAAAACAAACTTTTTGGGAAATTTCTACTGAGTTATAACATTGTTCTCTGATCATTATATGTCATCCATGGATGTTTGAGAGATCTAGCATTCTCCTCTGGCAACTCACCAAAAACTAAACTGGACCTAATTAAACATTTTTAATATGTTATTTTAGCATTTTCATACTAACAAAAGGTAAAATGATGATCTAAATATGTTATATGTTAGCAATTAATACCCCATCGAAGTTAAATACTCCTTCTTTAAGTGAACTAACATAAAATCGATTCCTCCTTTAATTAGGGAATTTATGTAAACTTCTAATTTAACTAGGCTGAATTATGTTCCAGATTATAATTGGACAGTTTAAATATCAGTGTTTTAATTTTATAGGTTCACTTGAGGCAACACATTTGTATAACTTTTCTGGTGGAGGGTCCCTCAAATGCTTTTCTCCATGGAGATGTTATTGTTTTATCATGTTTCACAGTATGGGATTAATCCTTTCTATTTTCATGGAGACCAAACTAGACCAAGGTGACCCTGCTCACACTCAGAATGTCTGTTTTTCTAGGTACTATTGAGCTATAAACAACAACTGTAATTTGACAAATGTAAAGTACAGTTGTTTAATGTCATACTGTGGAATATTCCAGGCAGAGCAATGATGTATCCATAAAGTATCACAAGCAGGTGATGGACCCTAGGGCTGCTCGATTACGGAAAAAAAAAAAAAAAAAAAAAAAATCATTATCATGATTATTTTGGTCAATACTGAAACCACGATTATTCAAGTTTTTATTTTTTAGTTACACAATGCATTTATTCAGCATTTCTTTCTCAAAAAAACTCCCACTTTCTTATTAATAATTTACGCCAAACTTTCACACTGAAAATAAATACAGGCTACAAATGTGAAACTTAGAGCAGTTTTGTGATGTATAAAAGATAAAATGAATAAAATATTCTTCGAACTTGAAATAAGGCATAGAAAGACATAAATGTACCCAAAACAAGATATATATCCAGCTGTTCTACAACCTCTACATTTAAAAAACTAAATAAATAGACTTATTTACACAAAATTTTTCCCAAAATAAACTTATGTTCTTATATATAAATAAGCTTTATCGTTTCAACTCAATTATATGAGTTTGGAGATCGTTTGACACGTAAATCTAATTCGCAATCAAAATTCAATTAATTGCACAGCCTTATTAGCCAGGCTGGCGCCACCTAGTGCCTCCTCTCAATTTTATTTTTCTCCAGCGACTAGGTCAGTTATCGGAATGCACTAGACAGTTTGCAAGCACCCCAGAAGTTGTAGACCACGCAACAGCCAATCAGCAAAGAGCTGTGAAGCCGTGACTGGGTCCCTTTTGTGATACAGCACAACAGTAAATAAAGCGTTGAGATGGACGTAGACGAAGCCATACATTCTGTGTTGGCAACGATTCTCAAGACCGAGGATTTAAAGCCGGAACAAAGAGAATGTTTGATGAATTTTATCAAGGGGAAAGACATTATTGCCCTTCTTCCTACTGGATTTAGCGCATTACATACATCACGACTGTATAGCAGCGATTGGTTAAATAAAAAAGTATCCGCCTACCATCGAGCGAACGGATCCTAATGCTGCAAGGTCAGACAGTTGCCACAAAGTGAAACCAGCTGATAAATCAAGCTACAACCAAAAAGTTACATAGTGCACCTTTAAGTTGTTCGCATCTTTGGAGAGGTGAACTCTTTACTAAAGGTTTTTAATGTTCTTTTTAAATAGGACTGTATGAAGGCAAGACATTTTGTTCTTTGTAGAGGTCCTTATATCACTGTGTGTGTAATCCTTCAGTCAGCCAAGTAGGTCCACAGTCTACTTACTACAGACATTATATAAACTAACTAGCAACAGTCATTGTGATTTGCTAACCGGGAACATTCAAACTGCAATTTTTGCATGATTGCAATTAGTACTAGTCCAACGTACTTCAGTATAATTAGCCAATTTAAGTAAGTTTGACCTCTAAAGCAATTACAGTGTTTAGTATGTAATAATGTGAGTCTATACACTGCTTCTACATTCTTCTTTCTCTTTCTAATACTCAATTATGAGGCAGCTCTAGCCTGTCCTTCCTGTCTGGATATTGCATGGAGATTCCTGTTTGGCCTTATCTGTCACGCGGTGCATCACCAAAGCAAACAAGACAGTGCTCAGGGCCGGACCTTGATGCAGTCCCACCTGCACCTTGGACTCCTCTGTCAACAAACTTGGTCCATTCTCCCAGACAATAATTCCGCTCCTCTTTGGCTTCTGCTCCTATACTTTACTAAATCCACAAAGACACAACATAGACAGCAACACTGCATTTAAAATAACTTTTTCAGATTACTAATCTTGTTTTCACTGTTTATTTAGTTAGTCTGTGTAGACCTTTTGGTCTTGTTTCAATAATAATTTGTCAATGGAGTGAGATAACCTGATTTTCATGTAAAATCTTTTGCCCCAGTACAGTAGATTAGGCTACATTGCAAAACATATGTTGTATATGAGACCACTATGTGCAGCCTGCATCAAATTATAAAGTCTTTTTTACACATCACAGACCGCATGGACTGTCCCTCCTCCCGTATGTCTCCCGGTCCACGCCTCTAAACCAGAACTAAAACAGAACTAAAACCAGGACTAAACCAGGAATAAACCAGGTCTAAACCAGGTGTAAAACAGAACTAGAACCTGGACTAAACCAGGTCTAAACCAGGTCTAAAACCAGGACTAAACCCGGTCTAACACCAGGACTAAAACAGGACAGGATATAAAACCGGTCCGTGGCGCAAAAAAGGTTGGGGACACTGGTATAGCTAACACTGTGGCCATACTGGCTTGTAAAAGCCTGATCCCGTCAGATCTCTGAAGCTCAGCAAGGCCTGGCCTGGTTAGTACTTGGATGGGAAACCACTGGGAAAATCAAGTGACACAGTGGGGCACCAGAGGGAATAACTGTCATTGTGTCCTTAGGCAAGACACTTCACCCACATTGCCTAGTATGAAAGTGGTGTGTGCGTGAGTGATGGTGGTGGTTGAAGGGACCGATGGCGCCGATTGGCATGGCAACCACGCCTCTGTCAGCCTGTCCCAGGGCAGCTGTGGCTACAATAGAAGCTTACCATCGCCAGGTATAGAGTGAATGGGTAATGTTGAATAATGATCTGTAAAGCGTCTTTGTGACAAAAATGTCTGTGAAAAGTGCTATATAAATAAAGATTTACTTACTTACTTAATGTTGGTGAACATGCTGTTTTAGCAGTGTGAAACCACAAAACTAACTTGTCAAATACGGCTAGAGACATTGATAAACCCTGCATATTTAGGGGTTTCTTGAATTCTTCTCTCACATGTGGTAATACAGGAAGTGCTGTACTGTGTTTTTAAACTCCATACACCTTCACTAGAATCATTTGGACAATTTCAGCCCTGGAGTTGCCCATCTCTATGAAACAAAACATTAAAAGGTAGATGTTAACTTGAAACCTACCCACTATATGATTTCACAAGCTGGAGAAGAGCATTTTGACCTTTGGAGATGTAGCCAGACTAAAACAAACAAAACACAACTCCTGGTATGTTTTTGAGGAGATAATAAAACTATAACATGACTTAGAGCTCACAAGAGTAAATTTAGCACAATATTGGGCTTTTGACTGAAAAGTCGAACCTTACAGAACAAAAAACAAAGCCGTCAGAAACAGGTAAAGACATATGCACACTTACAAAATAAATCAACATGAGTCAAAGATACTCAAAATAAATATTCTGAATCCAAGTATCTTTAACTCATATATTATACATCGTCTGTTTGTGCAGTGTGCCGCTCTACCAGCACCCCAAGGCAAATATTTATATTTTTGTGGTAAGAAACTTTACTGCTGTTCACTAAAGCCTTTAGCATAGCTTCCTCTACTTTTTCCCATAATTTAAATATATGCTCCTTAAGCATCTAATGACTGTATTTGTCTAGAATTGCCATTTGTCTTATTTGCCCTTCTGCTAGATTGCTATATGTGACTGCAGTTAGGTATTTGCCTTCCTGTCTCTTTATCTTTACGGCCAAATTACAAGAAAATACGCATGCATAAAAACTTACAAGAGCTTTACAAATCGCTGACTTAAAACTTTGGGGGGATGCTATATTAATTTCTGTCTGACTAATCCGAAATAACACCATAGCCTCCAGTCTTTGAGGTCAGATAAAGTTTAAACAGTTCTTGACAGTTAATTTAGGCTCTGTCTTACCCTGGATGATGGTGTTGTAGGACACAGCCTCCGAGCTCTTGCCGTCGTTATAAAAGGCCAGATGCCACACCCCTGAGTCCATGTATTGAATGAAGCCGGCCTGGTGCACGCTGACCGGGTGCTCCAGTCGTGCCCTTGTATCCGGCTCGCTGGCAGACCGATGTTCTTTAGCGATGAGCCGGCTGCCGTCTAGGAGCTCCACAAAGTCATACTGGAAAACACAGATAGAGATGAGGTTAAGTAACTCTTATGGTACTTATTATTGAAGATTCCAGTTATTTGTATGATTAGCTCTAGATTTTTGATGGCAACATTAACTTTTGAGATGCAAAAATGTTACATACTGTGGCTTTAGCATGCACTGTCCCTGAAATAAATCAATAATACAAACTGTAGAAATACTGGCTGATTCTGAGTCAAATGCAACCTGCTAAAATGTGACTGGATTTTGCGGTGTGGATGGTGGATGCTCAAGGTACGGAAGCCAGGAGGACTCATAACAAACGCAAACTCCGGAACAAATATAAACGCGACAACACGACAAAAAGACACAACAAACCAAAAAAAAAGACAGAACAGAAGTGATCGCGGGACTCTATTTTCCGACGGACCAAGCGAAGCGTTAAAGGGTCAAGCGGGAAGTGAATGGGAAAGTTGAAGAAGAACAAGAATGTGAAAAGTAAAGGAATGGAGAAGTGAACAAACTTGGAAACATAAGTAAAAGTAATTTATTGTTTTGTGGCCAGGATCGATGTCACTGCCTGACCATTGGTTGGTCCATTGGAAAATAGAGTCCCGTGGTCACTTCTGTCGTGGCTTTTTGTTGTGTTGAGGCTAGGGATGTCATAATAACCGAAAAATCGTAAATATACAATAATATCGTGGACCATCACAATATATCGAATTACAAGTCTCTTTGCTTAAATTAAGAGTTATGGTGCAGCAATAGCTAAAAAAGACAGAGGGAACTACATAGACCATGATCCTTTGCTCCATTTCAGTGTAGACTACAAGAAGAAATAACAGTTCTAAGCACTTTTATGTCTTAGTTCTTTGGATTTAGTCTTGTCAAGGCATTTTAAGAGGAAAAAGTAGCATGTTAACAGTTTTAGCTGTTTAGCCACACAAAATATCACAATATATGTCGTACCGTGAGATGTATATCGTGAAAATATTGTACCGAGAGATCTGGACATTGTTACATCCCTAATCATGAGCCTCCCCACCATATCGTGAGCTTTCCCAAGATATCGCAATAAATATCGTACCGTGAGGTTCATACCGTGATGATATTGTATCGTGAGACTTGGATATCGTCACACCCCTAGTTGAGGCTTTTTGTTGTGTTGAGTTGTTTGCATTTGTGTTGTTGTGTTTGTATTTGTTGCGGCGTTTGTGTTTGTTATGAGCCCTCCCGGCTTTCGTATCAAGACAGAATATATTGATTAGTTTTGAGCCACCGACCCAAAGTATGATGGGTGTTTACAAACTACATTGTGCACACAGATTTTTAAGTAAAATAATGTAAAACCTGAAAAGCCGTACAACTCTCTATTCTCCTGCGTATTGAACACTTTACATGCCACTCCAAAACTCATTTCAGAGGTAATGAGAGCAGAACTCCTGAGAAGTCTTAATGCAAGCCTCTGTCGGAGCAGGTCTGTGTTCACAGTAAATATTGCACTATGATAAATGTTGATTTTTCACTGTCAGTTATTTGACTTGTAGACGCTGTTTGGAGAGCTGTTTGTATGCTGATGAAGCCGATATGGCTCTGGGGCAATTTCTCTAAAATGTTTCAAAAAATAGATAATGTTAACTGTGATGGCAGACGCACTTGGGCGGTGCGCGCTGTGTAATCTTGTAAATGAACTTGGATAACACTGTGTAAATGCATATATTTAAATGTTTGGATACCTGCATGAAATTTCAATACAAGTCTCAAGTTTAGGAAATAGAAAAAAATTGGCAGTCATGTCACAACTAACAATGACATCTTGTTTTACATAAAAAGTGAAGGAGTGTGTATTGCTGGGGCAGTATACAGATACAGGAAAGCATATGAAAGTAACAAGTATGAGAAGGTTTATTTCATAGCAGATCTTGGCATGTGTCAGGCAAGAGTAATGACATACACAAACTTTGTTATCAGTCTCTGTTGAGTTTGTTACATTTTTTAAGTTCTTAAGTTTTAAGTTGAGAATGATGTGGACTTTAATACTAGCCAGACTGGCATCACCTAGTGCCTCCGGTCAATTTCATTTCTCTCCAGCAACTAGGTCAGGAATCAAAATACAATAGACGGTTTGTAAAAACCCTGAAAGTGCAAGTTTGGACACCAGCCAATCAGCGAAAAGCCATATATTCAGTGTTGTTAATGATTCCTGAGATCGAGGATTTAAAGTCAGAATAAGAGAGACAAGAGAATGTTTGGTGAATTTCATCAAGGGGAAAGATGTTATTGCCCTTCTTCCTACGGGATTTTTGAAAAGCTTAATATACCAGTTAGCCCCATTAGCGGCACATTACATACGTGACTACCAAATAGCAGCAATTGGTTACATGATAAAAAGTACCCGCCTACTGTTGAGTGAACAAATTCTAAACACTGCGAGGTCAGACAGTTTCTACGAAGTGAAACCGGCTGATGAATCAGGCTACTTTAATACTTCTCCAAATGCAAAAAAGACCTGATTCACCCGGAAAGAGATAGAGATGTTTAATTTTTGTGCCTAATGCCCACAGACACATTGGTATATCCTCACCCCTCAGTCTCAAACAAAAGTTTACTAAAATATGTCATTTGACATATGACATTTTTGTTACATATAACATTTGTTTTGCTTACTAGTGCTGAGATATCCTTGGTAGCTAATCCTTTGCTGTGTTTGGTGTGAAAAGTCCCCATGGTGAACAGAAGATGTATGTTCAGAGTCAGACTGTGTCATGTTTGGTTAGCGTGAGCCACTGGTTCATGCAAATATGCATGTATGATGCCTACATTGTCGCTGTAATACTACATTTGTAACATAATGGCTACAATCTATGTGAGGAAAAAACTATACTCTTTTAAATTATGTACAGTATTTTAAGTCAGAGAATAATAAGAATGAACAGCTTCATTGTGCAGAGCTAATTTCCACCCTGAATTTAAATTTTAAATTCAAGTTCATATCCAAATCCAAGAGCTTGACATTTTAGACTGATGTTAAACCAACAGAGGTTTCTAGAAGTAAAATATAGAGTTCCTTCATAGGTATTGAACGCTCTAGTGTGATAAATATATTTACCAGTCATGCCCCAGCAGCTTATCGACTTGTCCCACGGTTCTTTTTCTGTTTGACACATCTAACACTAACAGTAACACAGAGTTTTTCACATTCAATCTAACGGGTAACGTTAACTTTTCCACGTTCAATCCTGACCCATCTATTTTTAACAACTGCGAACAGGGTAGTTTGAAAGGTTGTATCACTTCTTGTAACTAACCAAAGAGCATAAAGATGATAAACCGTGACTATAGTGAGCGTTGTTAGTGCACCTGCTCCACACCTGAGCCTGTGTAGGAGCCTGTGTGAGTGTATGTGTGTGTGTGATCCTGTATATGAGCTTGTGTGTGAGCCTGTGTGTGTGTCTGTGCCTGTGTGTGAGCCTGTGTGTGTGTCTGTGCCTGTGTGTGTGTCTGTGCCTGTGTGTGTGTGTCTGTGCCTGTGTGTGATCCTGTATATGAGCTTGTGTGTGAGCCTGTGTGTGTGTCTGTGCCTGTGTGTGAGCCTGTGTGTGCCTGGAGCAGAGGGCCTATAACAAAACAGCCTCCCCAACACGAGGCCTCAGACAGACACAGGAGCAGATGTACTGATCCCCACTGCATCGTTGTGTAGAGTGGATGCACTCACTGGCAGCAGCACGCTCTCTTAACTGTGATTTAAATGTGTTTGCGCAAGACTCACTTTTACCATACACGCCACAATTACAAACTCAGGATTAAAGGGTTTTCACGTGCAATGGAAATCAGCGCTATTGGGACAAAAACGATACAATTTCTCAAAATGTCTCAAAATGATCGCCATATACTGCAGTGTCCCAGTTGTAGCCACTCCACCTCAATTAGTCACAGCAAAAACAAAACAAAACAAAGAAAGGTTTATAAGGAATGGAGTGCGTAATTATCCATCCAAACAATATGCTTTGTCATTTTGCCACCACTGGATATGCTGTATTAATAAACATCCACATTAAAACACTTCTAGTTGGATAAGGAATATGTTGTTTTTTTTTTTTTTTTTTTTGTCTACTAATGTATTTTTAAAATTTTTGTAAGCATAATATTATTGCACCAAAACTTGGCGATAGTTAAAGATAAAGGATAATTCATGAGCATCAACTAAATGTACACATATCATGTGAATATGACAAAAATGAACAGTAAGAACAGGTGTGAATTTAATGTGACAAAAAGGTCAATTTTGAATGTAACACTGTATTGGTCAGCAGAGATGACTTAGACCAGTGTTTTCCAAACCTTTGTGACACAAGTCAATAGACATTATCTGTAAATCACAAAATAAAGGTGGATTTGACCATTATTGAACATTAATTAGGATATTTATTGTTGACTGAGTGATTGTGTCTCTCTGAACAATTAGTAGTACTCAAGTTTTAAACAATGAAAAACAGTAACTGAATCAGCAATAAAAGGATCCATAAGTCGTCTATTTGGACATTCAAATCTAGCCCATTTCTTTTTCTTTTCAACATTCAATTGAACCAGCAATACTGGAATAAAATAGCCTGTAGAAATGAATATTGCAGACCGACATGCAGATGGTGACAAGGCAACCCCAAAAATAAACACTTGTGATCCAGTCTTTGGGAAACAATGACTTGAACATGAGAATTATGTCATTAAAATTATAGATATGTGTCAGAATTCCTTTACTGAAGTACATAAATTACTTTATGTTTTATGTTCATTATAAGCTTTGGTGCATTGGAACTGATTTGGACACATATGATGAATCTTCAAGTATACATTGTGCTTACTTTCATGTCCTAATACACAGCAGAAGCCATTGAGTAGACATTTCAAACCCTAAACTCATCACGGCATAGACAAACTACATACAATATGCCCAAATAATGTTTCCATATTGAACTCCCTATAAAACAACTTCATCAATCTCATCTGATGTCGTCTGCCTATAACATGAG